CAGAAACTGGTGAAAGAGACACTATTTTAGGCCAGATGAATTCTGTTTTGCCGGGGTACTATGAGAGATTCGCGCCATTCGCCAAAAAGGAACGGATACCTGATGATGTTACACAAAACTTTGTGGAAATGCAGGAATTTGAAGAAACAATGAACGCGTCAGTAGCCAGGGATGCGTGCCATCGCATTGTGATAAGTTGTTTTGTTTTGTTTTTTTGGAAATATGCCAATTTAATGCTTACATATTTAGAGTGTGCCAGCGACTTATTCTTGTGACTTATACATGCCTGCGACCCGTGCCTGCATCATATGCCTGCGACTTATGCCTGCCACTTTTATCTGTGACTTATGCCTGTGACTTATGCATGCGACCCATGACTGCGACTTATGCCTGCGACTTATGCATGTGACTTATGCCTGCGACTTATAATTGTGACTTATGCCTGTGACTTGTGCCTGCGACATAATCTTGCCTTTGATCCGTGCCTTTTTCTTCTTGTCTGGTTTTAATTTGTTAAGGCACGGGATCCTTATCTGTTTGTAAGCAAACATGTACACGAGGTGATGGAAACTCTGAAAGGCAACTTCTACAGCAACTATACGATGAGGCAATCTTGTGCTAAATACGGGGAAATTATGTGTCTAGACACGCAACACAGGGGCAACAATAATTGAGGCTGGCAATTGACCATTCTAGTAGGACCAGGAACTGATGGCAAGATCAAACACTTTGGTGCTATGTTATTCTATATAAGACTAAAGCCATCTATAAGTTTGCTCTCAATAGTTTACAAAATTCTTTGGGTCAAGGGCCAGGGGCGCTACTGCAGACGAGAGTCGTGTTTACAGCTGTCAGGTTCCTGAGTCAGGCCGATGTAAATCTAGGGCAGTTCTTTTTTTCAGACAGATATCATATCAAAATGAATATTCAAAAGAACATGGAGGGTCTCTATTGTGGTATTGTCCAGGAGAAGATACTAAAAGCCCTACGTGCAGGATCACAAGAAAGTTGTAAAAGGCACTTTCAAATTGCAATCCAGATACTACGAATTAGAGACACAAACTCGACTACAAATTACATTACCAACCTTATAAACATGTCCAGACACCTTGCTGATTGAGGGCTCAACGATAAACTGACTTTGGGACCCAAACGTTCCCAGATGAGCGAGTCTACACGTGCGCAAGTCGAAAGTTAGTTCAAGAAGTTGAGACTGGATCCGCTTACCCTCACCATTGGCATTGCAGATATCTGCGGTCAGGTTCTAGTAGCGTGCAGAGCTGAGAAGGTGAAGTATGCAATGTAATATGGGTTGGTGTGTTATGGTAAGGATGACAGTCCATCAAAATCTGAACCACTTTTTATTGCTCAATGTCGACAATGGAGTTCTTGGAGATGCCCCGAAATGTATATCGAAGAGGTGGCCAGGTCTGCAGGATACAGAGTGTGAAACACGCCAGTTCATGGAGATGACAGTCCGGTTTATTGCGTCGAATCCATTGATAATGTTGATGGACCCCAACGCTCTGTGAGATACAACGAATATGAAGAATGGTAAGAATTGATTTGCATTTAGTTGTACGCACGGTTAAGTCGCAGTCATAGGAGGCAGGCATATGAGACAGGCATAGGACGCAGCAGGCATAAGTTGCAGGCACGAGTTGCATGCTCACGACGCTACTGAAAATTCAAATTTTGTTATCATTATGTCTCGCCTTATTCTGTTATTTGTAACACTAAAACTGCTAAAATATTCTGGTTCCAGGTTCACGTGCTCTTGTAAAGACTGGTTCATCTATGCCATGCCTTATAGACACCTTGCCATAGTGTGCTCCCACATAGGCCACCCGTTATTCAAGGAGTCTTATTTCCACGATCTTTTATAATTCAACATCGAGCAGCCCCCTGAGAAAGCTTGGCCCCATATCAACGCGGAAGGCTATGTCAGTTCTGCGTTAGGAGGTATGCAGGCTGACAATTGATATAAAATGAAGGTTCCGATTATCAGAAACTGTGCTCTGGTGTATACAGTGGTGTACGTAATAATGATCAGGTGAAGTTCCCTAAAGAACTGGCAGGAGTATTGGACCAGATGTTCCAGAAGCTTAACAATACAGATCACGGCAGGATAAGCTGGCCGCGATGGGCAACGGTTTGTTGAGATATTTTACATTACAAAGAGGGGAAGAGGGCCCCCCTAGCAGTCTTTTCGAGGGGCCCGAGACCATACCACGTCAGCCTTGAGTACAACAAAACAAACGTATGCATGTAACGGAGCTAAAGCTGTAAGATTCGGTCTAATAAAGGCGATACTAATGCCTTAGAATAAATAAACACGTAGGTAAATTCTGAATATCGTGTAAATATCGATATAAATAAACGAAATGAGACGTTTAATAAAGTTGGGTTTGCCTCGTGAAAACAGCAATACTCTGAGGGATTGTTAGGCTGAGACATTGCCTATATATAATCCTCTCAGTACTGTTTCCGCCGAAGGGATTTTATTTAGTGTTTCGTTGTCGCTCTATTCTGGGGCGTATCCGAGAGACTCATAAAATCCTATTTTTAGGAAAATAAATATAAAAAGAAAAATACTCTTGATGTCCTTAGTTATTGTCTTAACCAATAGCATGCCACTTATCAAGAATTACCGACTTAGCCTTCATCAGACTGGCACATCTGGTTGGCTGATCGGAGGATCAATCAGGTAACGTTAATGGTCCCTAGAAACCTATATTCGGTTGAGCCATCTCGCTACCGAAGTATTCAGATATAAATAAAGTTGGAAAGTTATCTTAGTTCTATTAATAGAACCAGACCAACTCTTATGTTTGGTATTTTAATGAGGCCTTTTAATGGTCTCGTCCAAATATCTGATATGTAAAATGGAAAAGGTATTAAATAATAAAACCATTAAAAACTATTTTAGGAAACTTAAGTTCTCGTACTATTAAGAACACATTTAGGAAACTTAAGTTCCTCGTACTATAAAGAATACGTTTATAAATTACGTACTGCTTAAGAGTACGTTTATAACATAGAGTCTAATGTGGAGGCTCGGCTTATTACATGAGTGCGTGCAAGTAATATATGCGAGTGAGACAGCGAATGACTACAATTTACACAAACGGTATGATATATGAAATAATACACAGCACACCATACCTGTAGATCACAAACTCTTCTTCCTTGCTTACTCAATCGACAACTCTGAGAGTGGTGGAAAAAAAATATTCACATTGTTGTTACATTCTTTCGACAGATGATGAATACTACATACCTAGGTACATCGTACCCATATGCCAAACCATGCCGGTTCAACAGTGGCACATCGTTCTTTCCCCTGCGAAAATGATAAATATATCTCGACGGCATGTCTCATTTATACATTCCATATAATAGGTTTTTATTATTATTATTATTAAAAGTGCCGGTTGAATTGTATTGCACAGTAGGTAAGTTAAATAAAACTATTACTACTCAGTCATTCCGTTACTTTGTAACTCTCTCCGCAGGTATGATAATAAAAACATTTGTATACTTAACCGTAAACCCCTTGGGCGCAGGCGACAGCGTCAGACTTGGCGGTCGCAGGCGTCAGCGTCAGACTTAACGGGCGCAGGCGAGAGCGTCAAGTTTAGCAGTTGCAGGCGACAGCGTCAGAATTAGTGGTCGCAATTTTAAGTCACAATTTTAACGCGTCAGCCGAGTGTCGCAGTCATGGTGATTGCAAACCCAAATCGTAATCATAGTGGTCGCAGTCTCCAAAAAAAAGATAATTTAACTTTTGGCGCGTACTGTATTGCATAGTAACTTTATTCTAAGGTTTACGATACAAGCAGTCTTTAGTCCTCTTCGCCCTTCTGTTCCTAATAGCCTTAGTGAAAGTCCGAACTCTAACGCTGGACGTGAACTGCTTTTATAGTCCGCCGGGACCTATCTCTATCTATTCCCGAACGAACTTGTATTACTCACATCCTAGGCTATGACCAGTAACTATGATATTCGTAGTGAGAGGGAAAGGCATGGGCCTAGAAACCCCTCTGCTACGATGTTCTCGAGCTTTCTCATGGAGTCATCGCCTACGTATGTTCGTAGACACTTTGCGCTGTTCGTGAATATACGTAGACACTATAAGTATGACCCATACAGTATGACACTCAAAATCATCAGGGCCTGGTTAAAAAACCTAATATGATTGGACCCTGAAATAAAAACCCAATATGAATTTCCGGAAACATGACTCATCATTCAGAACCCGCCAAAAATCAGGGTACCGAAGAGTCTCGATACACGCCCACCAGCCTAAGGATGTGCAGGTGCTAAGCGCTTCTGGCGTCCATTGTTCTCATTATTGACAAAATGACGGATGCCCTTATTGTATGACTTGAACCGATCCCACGACTTTGGAAATTTCTCCATGAAGTCTTCCTTAACATCCTCTGGGTCCAAATGCTCCGACATCACTGAGCGATATTTCTGCAGAGTGGTCAAGAGCTGCGACGAATATTTACTAGAACCACACTTCCCCAGACTTCGTTCCAATATATTGCTCGAATTGCTCAGCAACAGTCTGAAACCATTCAAATGTGTGCAAGTACTATTTCAAGGTAGCTAGTACAATGTACATACTACATATTTACTATCGTAATAAGCATTTATATAAACGTTATTATAAATATAAAAGACCAAACTTGAACGAAAGTAGGATTTGGGATTTTGGGATTGATTTGAAACGTCTAAGTTTTTACCAAAAAAACCCCCCCCGAACCGTGAAGTGTGGAGTGTGGACTCACCGGGCGTGACCATCAGCAGTCAAAGCGTGAAAGACTGAAAACTATATAATTTTCCTGATAAAATATTACAAATTTAAATTGAGCTTTTCTGATTGGTGTAGTGACAAATAGTGTTCCTAACAATCACAGTTTTTAAATCTGGAAGTTAAAAAGAACATATATATTGACATACGTATTTACATAGTGCGTTCTATATCAATATCTCAGGAATATTTATTTACATATTTGTGGTATATGAAAGTGTAGACGAAGTCTATATTATAGCGCAGGCGACTACTGGAATCGACAGAAACCGTTCAGACTTAATACTAAATATAACACTATAATGGATAGTCCTCAGGTCGATCACGCGTTCAAGCTTCTGCTGATAGGAGATAGGTAATTGATACAAATACAGTGTGTGGAGTTAGTGAGTGTGCCGAGGCAAACTGCTGAGTATGCTGTTGGTGTAATATGTTTTATAGTGAGCAACGCAAATTAAAGGCTTGTTTATTTTTTCTCTCTATTGTAGTGTTTATGGATATGACCTCATGCATTTAACGCATCTGCCTGTTTATTACTTGTACGTACTGTCTTCACGTTGTATGTACCGCAAATCACTCAATGTACTGATTCGAAATAATCGTCGACTGGTAGCTACGTCAAGGTTGCTGACATACCATTCCCTTTTTGATAGTATACCAATTCGAATGAAAAACGTCATTGCCAGAATATACCTATCTTCGCAATCATTTTATGCGTGGACGTGCATTGTGGCTCCAGTTTTACAGAAACTTCTTTTATACTGAGCAACATATGTACGCGCGAGTATGCAGAATGTATTGATATATCTACTCTCTCACACATGCTTGATATTTATATATATATGTATATATATGTATATATATATATATATTATATATATATATATATATATATATATATATATATAATATATATATATGAGAT